CTCACTTTCACATCAGGAAACAAGCTATATATATATATATATATGTGTGTGTCACTTTCACACCAGGAAACAAGCTATATATATATATATATGTGTGTGTCACACTTTCACACCAGGAAACAAGCTATATATATATATATATATATGTGTGTGTGTGTCACTTTCACATCAGGAAACAAGCTATATATATATATATATGTGTGTGTCACACTTTCACACCAGGAAACAAGCTATATATATATATATATGTGTGTGTCTCACTTTCACATCAGGAAACAAGCTATATATATATATATATGTGTGTGTCACTTTCACACCAGGAAACAAGCTATATATATATATATATGTGTGTGTCTCACTTTCACACCAGGAAACAAGCTATATATATATATGTGTGTGTCTCACTTTCACACCAGGAAACAAGCTATATATATATATATATATATATGTGTGTGTCACACTTTCACATCAGGAAACAAGCTATATATATATATATATATATATGTATGTGTCACACTTTCACACCAGGAAACAAGCTATATATATATATATATATATATGTGTCTCACTTTCACACCAGGAAACAAGCTATATATATATATATATATATATATATGTGTCTCACTTTCACACCAGGAAACAAGCTATATATATATATATGTGTGTGTCACTTTCTTATTTTCTATACTATGTTTGGCCCGAAATGGCTTGAAATCGGAAAACTTTTCATTCTTTCCAAACGCATTCTTGATGTAAGTATTACTGTAAGACCCTGCTTGTAGCATGTTGTGCACCAACTTGAAATCGTTTAAACATGATGCAGAGCGTAGACCTACTTTCAATATTCGCAAAGAGATCCTTACTGTGGGAAGTAACAGTTCATAAACTTAAGCTCATCTCCTGTTCAGGGTAGTGCTGGGCGGCTAGGTTCCCGGTTATTTAAATCTTGGGGAATCGTAGGAATCGACTCCGAACCCAATTACTTTCTCTCTAACGATGAGATTTCTTCTGGTGGTTACCTGGTTGGCTCTGAACATCTTCAGGATTTAGGATAACCTTGATTTCGGAACGCTACCAAGCATCAACTTTTAGTTTTCAATAATTAATTCTCCCCCCCCCCCCCCCAAAAAAAAGACTATGATGATAATGTCACTGGTAACCGTTGGCGTACGTAAAAAAGAGTCGGACCTTTTCATCCGCGTAGCAGTAATAGTGGGAATCGGTTCCGGAATTGATACTTCGCCCAGCTCTACCGTTCAGATGAAAATATGCGTCACAACATGATGGAATCAGGGTGCTGGTCAATTTGTGAGCACGTGGAATTATGGGTATAATTTTTTAAAGCCTGTTTATTTCTCTTGCTTTTGAGGAAAAAAATACCCGTCAATCTTAAATTATAGAAGTAGAAGTCAAGATCTTTCCGTTTGAAAGAGAGGGGATCACATGGTTGTCAGGGATAAAATTTGCCGGAGAATTCATGGTCACCAAAGTGTACTGACAACCAACACTTAAGTTCCTTTGGAAACTGCAAATAAATGTACTTTTTTGTGTCTTTGATCAACGTTTCAGTAAGATCCACACAGAAATGTGTTTTCAAATGGACATTACAGATGTTGATTCTCCCAAGAAAAAATAATGATACAAGTTGTGCAACGAGCGGTAAGAGCCGGGTTCTTTGATTTGATTGCTCTGACGAGCGCCCGATTTCATCACGGTGCCACACAATCGTATAATGAACTCACTGCTGTTAGTCAATGAACTATTGAGTAAAAGGTAAAAGAATATTCTTGGTGTGTGTGCGTGTGCGTGTGTGTGTGTGTGTGTGTGTGTGTGTGTGTGTGTGTGTGTGTGTGTGTGTGTGAGTGAGTGTGTTTGTTTTTCTTGTATGTATGTGTGTGAGCATGTCTATCTGTGTGAGTGTGTATATGTATGTGTGTGTGTTCATTTGTTTGTGGGTGTGCATGTATGCATCTGTGACAAAATGTATTTGTGTATGTGTATGTGTGAGTGTGTGTGTGTACTTATGTGTGCATGCGTGTGTGCGTGTGTGTTTGCGTTTGTGCCTCTGATAAAAGAATAATCTTTCTACTGTTTCTAGGACAGTGGCCCCTATTGCTGAAGGCTATTCTTGACAAGGTGAAGGACATCACATCTGGAGGACGACCCTTTGTCATTCTAGAAGTTCCAAATACAATTCAACACGCTGTCAAGCCAAGCGAGTATTTCATGATTGGCCACGTCACCGAGTTTGAGGTACGCTGCTATTGTTGCCGTTCATAAAATAATACATGTACAAAGTTCTGGCCAAAGTGGTTGAGAGTCTCAAGCCTACACATGTTGAGGTTAGCTCTAAAACTTTTTATTTTATTCTCTAGGTCCTGGTAAGAATAAGTAAGATTGGGCAATTTCACACCACACTTGTACAATTGGATTGCAGGACAAGTGTATATGCCTATTGATATATATGTGTGATAAACGTAGGCAAATAGTACGCTTGTGATGTCTCTCTGAACTGCCATTGACGCACAAGCTTTCTCGTTTCTTTTTCTTCTGTTTTGCTATTTTGAAGTTGAATTGTGAAGCCCTTATGGTTGGCATTTACTGGGTGTTGCTCGTGAAGACCCAGGTGGCATAACGCTCTAGATTCTTATGGTTTAAAATTGGAGCATTTCGGGTTATAAATGGTTTTCTTACAAAGACGGAAAAGAAAAAAAATACTACATTTATATGGCACTCTGAAAAGCAGCACTCAATATTAGGATCTGCGAATAGGAATTCACACAGGATAATATTATTATTTACTTGAAATGTCTGGAGCACAGTGTCTTCTTCCTTTCACTTAGTCTTCTTTTCGCTTCCCATCATGAATCGAGTTCACTTTCTTTAAAAAGTATCTTCTTTAATCTACTCAGGCGCTCGACATAATAGGTAGCCAAAATTTCTGGGAAGTGTATGAGTATGAAGGCACTGAGTGGGGCTGCAAAGCTCGTCTTATATTTCGTGTGAGTATTCCTCAGTTCGCAGAGCGTTTGGGAGAGGCCATCATGGGTGACTTCCGTACCTTGGGTTCTGTGGTCAATCTGAGCCTTCCCATGGTGCCTTCTGACCACGCCCTCATCTTTGTGGACAACCACGACATTCAGCGGGGCCGCCAGAGAAAAGGGGCGACAATCTTGACTCACAGGGATCCTCACACTTACAAGCTGGGCCAGGCCTTTACTCTGGGTAAGACTTAAGAAAAGAGAGTTTGCTCAAGCGTGTGTGTGTGTGTGTGTGTGAGTGTGTGTGTGTGTGTGTGT